TTCACATTGGTATGCAATTCAATGAGTAAAACTTGACCCTTGGTAATCATCCTCTGCTGAAGTACAGGCAGGTTGACTTCATTAGGAACAATTCCAAGCCTTTTGTTTAGAACCTCACGTTCTCTTCTTTTGCTGGGTAGTTCTTTGTTCCCTTCAGGACAGTAGAGATACCTGGGGAGAAAAAATTGGTAGGTAGTTGGAAGTAAGAATTTCCCACTATTCACACTCACCGGGCATGGGATCAATCTTTGTGCTACCAGCAGAAAGCTGATGTATGAGCATGATGTAGAAGCCAAGGGACCTCAAAAGTCTATCAAACGAAATGGTTTTAGTTCATAGTTTACAACAGTTTGATGCAAAAAATCTCTGGGTGAAACTCTATCATTTATGCTACACACAGGGAATTACTTTGTCTAATGATCCTCTGACTCAAAATTTATGGACTAGTCTCCACAGCACACAAAGAGAATTAGAACAGCATGGTGCAAAGGTCTCCCACAGATAATCAATGAAGGCTGAATGCAATATAATGTATTTGTGGGACAGCTGTAACTTATGTTGCTGATGTAACACATCCAGAAACTCCAGCACTATGGAGAACCAATTGAAAGCAAGTCTTCAACATCACTTCTTTCTCCTTTTCTAATTTCTCTTTAGCTTGCTACATGGAAAATTAGCACAGAAAATTATGGAGCTGCATCTGTCAGCTTTATATTGGTGAAGCTTGTCTCATAATCAAGATGCATTATATTGTTACAATTATTCTATGAAAATATGATGTAAAGATTTCTCATAATCAATGCTGTGAAGAAAGAAAACTGGTTGTTTTGGTTTTGTCTCAAAATTCTATCTGTCTCCAACACAAGTGTAAGACCTCTTCTGAAATTTTCCCAGACTACTTGTGTACAATTTGAAAACTCAGATACATAAAGGCCTTGCAGACTTTCCTCTGTTCATGAGGTCCCTCAGGAAGCAGTGTTATTTTGATTACTGAAGTACTGAAGGATATCTAAGTATTCCAGGAATAAGGAAAGGAAAAACATGCAAAATAGTTTATAGCTTTGCACCTACACTTCAACAAAAGTAGATAGAAATCGCTAAGCTGAAAGATTGTTATTAAAGTTGTAAAGTCAAGTGCACTTAAGGAAAAACAAAACCTGTGGAGTAAAGGCTGACAGCAAACCTCCACTTAGCCTGCTTTGTGGATAACATAATCCTTGATGGGGCACCATATCAGTGCAAAAATTAGAATCACGGAATGGTTGTGACTTGAAAAGGCCTTTAAAGATCATGTAGGCCAATGCTCCCGCCAGGGGCAGGGAAGACTAACATGAGATTCTCAAAACCCCATCCAACCTGAACTTGAACACTTTCAGGGATAGGGCATCCACCACTTCTCTGGGCAACCTGTTCCAGTGTCTCACCATTGTCACCACAGACAACTTCTTCCTTACGTCCAACCTAAATCCACTGCTTTAAGTTTAAAACTGTTGTCCCTTATGTGATTGCTACAGGCCCTGGTAAAAAAAAAAAAAAAAAAAATCTCTCCTAAGCCCATTTTAAGTATTGAAAGGCTGTAATAATTTCTCCCTGGATTCCCTTTTGTCTGAGCTTTTGAGCCTGACTCCTGTTCTATGTGTCTACCACCTGCCTCACCTGAAAACCATTCTCTCTTCTCTTCGTCGGTGCCAGCTAGAGGTGGTTCTTCCTTCTGCCCATACCAATCTCCTTCTCAGAACTCCTGCATTCCATCTCCTGTTGTTCTTGGCTCTGCACCAGATGTATTCTCATTTCCTAGCTTCTATCTCATCAGTTTTTCCTTATCAATTCTTTGCCCAGGCATTACCTTAAGATGATGAGACAGCCTCACTTTCTCTTCTAATGTCTAGACTTGACCTGACGCTATTTCAGATATTTCAGTACTCTATTAAGGCTACTGTTAAGCATACACCTACTACTGTGAGCTTTTTTTTAATTATGACACTGGCACAGATTTGTTAAAGGAAGGATGAAATTCATACCTGTGAACAAAAACAACAACAACAATAAAAGTACTTTTCTGGCTAATCCTTGCTTGTAGCACACAAGTTCATCAAGAAAACAACACTAGAATGTTTTTAATATGGGCATGCAAGGTAGACCAAAGTTTCTTATCTTCAATGCCTTCATTTAATGCTGTAAAGGCTAAAATCTTTCAGATCCTTCCACAGAACAGATTTCTAGAACTGTAGGGCTCCAGGAAAACATGGAAAGCTCAGAAGATTGAGAGGGTTTACAGATACAATGTCACAGTAAGAAAAACAGTTATTTCTTCTTTTTATATATTTTCCCATGATTTGTCTTAGTAAAAGCTTCCAAATTAGCTTTCAAAACTGGAGTTGATACTATGACAAGACCTAAAAAATATCTTTATGGAGTACCATGTCAGAAACATGAATATTTGACTTTCCCTTATCAGCAAACAGATGTTCTGCTAGTAAAAAGGGAGTACTTAAAAACAAAGGACACAACTACTTGGTTACACTACTACAGTACTTAGAGGAACATTGTGTCTGTTAGTACTATACTGACACCCTGGAATAGCTTTTGTTCTGTCTTCCACCCTTATATCAAAACACCCACTTATGCAACTCTTCACTTCCTCCTCTAGCCATAGTTGTAAGGAGATCCTGAAACAGGTAAAAAAGAATTTATATTTGTGTGGCCCTGATTTCTGAGCACTAAGGTCAATTTCGTCTTCCATTTCTTCCCAAACTTTCAGATGGTCTTTTATTTAGTCTAACAGTTCCCAAAATGCCTTTAAACACCATCTTGCTATGATACAGAAGGATATTACATTCTTAGCAGCTAAACTGACCAGCTGGACCAAATCATTAAAGCCTATAAAACAAACCAAACCAACCCAAATCAAACCAACAAAAAAAAACCCAAAAAAAACCAAAAAACCCCTATGCCCCCCCAAAAAACCCAAACCAACCATAAAAAAAAGCAAACCCAAAAACCTTCCCCTTCAACTGAAAGTGTTAAGTTCACAGTAGCTGTATAAGAATGCTTGCACAAGAATGACTTTCTATACTGAGCTTTCTCAACCAGCTTAAGTAGGAAGGTGCCTTTGATAAACAGAGTTTATCTATGCTATATGCACAATTTCTATCAGGCAGCCATCTCTGATGCACAGTAGTTGTTCTTAAATCTTTTCATCAAACTGGTAGAAAGACCTGCTTCAGATCTGCAAAAGCAAACCCATCTTATCTCAGCCACACAAGTCTGTGATGACAGATGCTTCCACTCAAAGGTGGAGAGCTCATAGAAGAATGTCTGAGAACTCAGGGCATGTGCTCTCTGCAAGGGACCAGAGCCATCTGCCTGCTGTTGGAAACAGTCATTCCCACAGTCCAAATGCTGACAGACAGCTTCATAAACATGCACTTTTCCTACAGGCACTGTGGACTTCAGGCTTTCCTAGTGTCAAAAGACCACTTAATTTTGTCTATACATCACTGAACTGTATCAATGACTTTGTACCTACCAGTCAGCCTAAATTCAGGCCAGATGCTCTTTCAGTTTTTCCAACAAGAGGTGAAATGCACCTTTTTTTAGCAATATCTCATTGCTAAAGATAATCCTCAGCTTGAGTGAAGAAAGAGGTTTTGCATCAATGACAATCCTACCACGTGATCAGATTATTCTGGTACTTGCACCAGATGGATTACTTCTCTACACCACACAATGTCATGAATAACAGCCAGGTTATCCATCTTTTATACCTAGCAGTACTAATACGAGCCAAGTCTACCAGTCCTGATGCTGAGTACTTGCTAAAAAGCAATAAACAGTTTCTTCCACAGTCCTTATCATTCTGACTCACAGGAAAAACAAGCCTCAAAAAAAAAAAAAAAAATGAAAAGACTGACTTAGTAACCAAAGTGCAGAAAATGTCTTGTTATGGCACTGTAATACCAGGGAAAAAAAATTAAAATTCTCTTTGCTATTAGCTTACTGGCTACCCATGAAATAACCAGAACATTTCTGCAATTCTCTAAAAATATCGTTGGCAATAGGTTTTTCACACCTGAACATTTGATTTTGGCATGAAGAGCTGTTCTAGAACCCAAAGCATACATTTTTTGTAGTTTATAAGTCATCATTACTGTAGATTTCTACCATGACCATGAAGCCTGGACATGTATCTTCTGAATGCAGGATATGTCTATGCAGCTGCAACAACTTGATTAAAATTATCTCTCTGGCAAGTGTGAAAAAGCACACTGTGACAATCACCATGTGCAGCAGTGAACCCTGTCCAGTAAGTGTCTTTTAATCCATCTCATGGTCAAAATTTTGTCATTGGAACTCTCTGTATTCATCAATATGACAAATATTATCCACTGTCTAAAACCCCAGGAGTTGGATGAAATTAAATCTAGGATCAATTGCTACATCAGGTTTTCATGTTTCTTTTAATTTCTGCAGGATATGTGACTTAGGAAAGATAGGCCAATACTGCCTCTTAGTGGAAGGACAGATGACTCAAAAGGTGAAGAGAATGCTGGTCTGTGGAAATGGACTAGAAACTTAAGAGTGCCACACAGACCCTCAGCTGGCAGCCATCAGAACTGCAGGGGGCTAAATGAAAGACTTGCAGCCATGAATGCTTAGTAGTGATGATGATGATGATGACGATGAAAGTAATAATAGTAAAATAATAATGATGATGATGATAATAATAATAATAGTAGTAGTAGTAGTAGTAAAAAGTACTTCTGTGCTTTGGCAAACTTTTTTTACCTCCTTGGGGAGAAGTACAGTTCAGCAGAATGCTGGTATGACTTGCTGGTCAAAACAATCATTTGCATGTGTGAGAACTAGGAACCTTCACAGACAACCATTTATAGGAAGAAGAAAACAATTAACTGATACCTGGCAACATTAGTGGAAATGGTTCCAGGCGAGAATAAAAAGGAGCAGAATGTCTTAAATCGCCTAAGTATCACCAAGTCCAAAGATCTGCTTTAGATTCCAGGAGTGTTGGAGCTGTGTACTGTCATCTATTGCCCAGTTCGGTATGTTCTAGAACATTAAAAAAACATTAACTAAATTAAGTACAAATGTGAATTTGTTAGCCATCTAACAGAATTAAAGTGGTACATTACGCTGAAGAATACTTAATTAACACAGTAAAAATTTGCAGGCAGCAAGAGCTCCACTAATGCATTTCTATTTTCAAATTATGGACCACAGACCAAATACAAATGAGGGCCTCAAACAGGCACAGTTCGGAATTTGCTGTCATTCCTGAGCTATATAATCCTTCTGGGGATAATACCTTGAGATATTCTTTGAGTACTTAAAAATGTATAGCTATCATTAGAGCCAGACTTGACAGTTTTGCTCTTCATGAAATAGCTCTTTCTAATGACAAAATTAGTTGCTTCTCTATTTCTAAAATTTTAATAACAATGAAAAAAATTTCACTGAAGAAAATTAAGAAATTATGTGACAACATATCAATATAGGCATTTGATTGTGAAGCCTGCTTCCTTCTAGTCTTACTTGCACTGCAACCATTTTTCTTCCTACAAAACCAATGTTGAAGCATTCTTCACAAACAGATATGGTCATTCGAGCTTGTATGCTTTTGGCTGGGTTAGATTAAATTTCTTCACAGTAATTTGCATGCTGCTATGTTTCGGATTTGTGCTGAAAACGGCGTTGACAACATACCAGTGTTTTAGCTATTGCTGAACACAGCACCAGGGCCACTTTTGCATCTCCCACCACCCCACCAGTGCTTAGGCTGGGAGTGCACAAGAAGCTGGGAAGGGACACAGCCAGGACAGCTGACCCTAAGTGACCAGAGGGATGTTCCACACCAAGTGGCATCATGCTCTGCAGTAAAAGCTAGAGGAAAGAGGAAGGAAGGGCAGGGTGGTATATTTGGAGTTACGGCACTTGTCTTCCCAAGTAATCGTGAGATATGATGGAGTCCTGCTTTCCTGGAAATGGCTAACCCTGCCTGCCGTTGGGAAGCAGAGAATGGATCCTTTCTTTTGCACTGCTTGCACATGCAGATTCTGCTTTACCTAGTAAGCTGTCTTTATCTCAAGGCAAGAGCTTTTTCACTTTTATTCTTCCAATTCTCTCACCTGTCCTACTGCAGGGAAGTGAACAAGTGGTTGTGTGGTGCTGAAGCTGCCCATGGGAGTGAAACCACAACAGAGCTACAGCACTCAGCTGAACACATCCCCTATCTCTGACCACTGCATTTTTTCTTATAACTGAGTTTCTGCTTGGATTAGGTCTCTTCAAGCAATTTATTAAAACTAGATTTCTGCATGAATTTGGGTATTACATGTGCACTTTAATATAAAAAAGCAGGATGAAATTTTGAAACTGGTATTCACTGCCTTATTCATAAATAGCCTCACAAACAAGGAGCTTGCCTCTTGTGCAGTATAATATTAAACCAGAAGGTGGAAAAGAGAGAGCGGCACAATGGATGTGAGTGGAATAATTTGGAAACATTACAGGGTCTTTTTATGCATGTTTACCAAATTTCTGTATAAATAAGTAATACAATTGGAGTGCTGAGTAATTTCAGGAGATTAGTGATAAATGGGCACAAGTTGATTATTCAAGCTAAAGCTGAGGGTCATTATCCTCAGCTGGTCATTAATCCCCATGAAATGACTGGTATTGAGATAGTAATTACTACTATAATGAAAATAGGGTAAAAAAAGCAGCATGACATTATTCTTATGAAGCTGTCAGTTTCTAAAGAATTCATGTTTCTCTCATCACCCAATCAAGTTGCTTGAATTATTTTTAACTCTTTATACAGTTCCTTTGTCCTACTACAATATTCATGTCATCACCTCACTTAAGGTTTGGTTTCCCATCTTATTTTCTTGGAATTTTAGAAGGGTACAGCAAGGGGCAACAGTGATGGGAGAGAAAGACAATGCATATAAATTCCCCCAAACCAGAAAATAAATATAACGTATTTTCAGAATTTTCTCTATAAAGCGTGTTCCACAATGAAGTAGAAGATTGCACTATTATATTATCTAGCTAATTATTCTGCATTTAACCATGCTTTTAGCCATAGCACACACATTTGTTCTAAACCAAGATTCACCTTGTAGCCTTACAATATATGTAATGGATAATGTCAATGTCAGCTTGGTCAGAAAACATGAGGAAGTTTGGCCCTAAAACAAAAAGCATCTTTAAACATTTGCAATTTCTCAAATCAAGTTTGTGGTATTTTGATGTGCCTTCTAAGGACTTTGGAGCCCTTGAAGTTCTTTTCCTTCTCATTTCTACTAGACAAGCTAGGAACCATATTATGAGCTGAAGGGAAGGCAATTTGTTTCCTGCTAGAAGTACTGTCATTCTGTTTCCACTGGGAAAGACCCACACATGCTGCATCATTACAACTTAGAAAATTAAAAACCCAGTCTGAACTAAAAGCTTTTAACGTAACATAAGTTTAAAAATAGTATTGCCCAATATGTTGCTAAAGCAAGTAAGATACAGATATTCATTACTCTAAGTACTTTTTTCTAAAGCTCCTCTGTGAACATTTTTCTAAGGGGATCGCAGGATAGCTACAGGATGGATTGAGGTTCTGCTGGAAAATTTGCAGTTGCTTCTGAAATGTCTCACTGTATGTAAAAGAGAGGAAGTAGAGCCAGGCTCAAATCAGCTTTAGGCAAGAATGGCTGATGGGATGTTGCTGTGAGGGCTGCAAACCAATTACTGTGTGATGGAATAAAACTAGGTAATGGTGGACACTGATAAGTGACGTGCAGTGCAGCTGAGGAAAGTGATCTGTTCTTCTAACTTGCTCATGTTGTTTGGAGAGCTTGAGGTGAAGCCTAATGATTCTGTCTGCTAACCAAATGAATCATTCAATACTGGACAGCTATCAAAACTGGACTCTGGCTATTTGGGCAGAGTGTGAGCAGCAAAAAATAAAAATTGCATAAGCTCTGAAGGCTCTGAATGGCACTGAGAAGAACACACTTCAGAAAACAGCAAGTTCTCTGGAAATACAGACATGTTTTTGACAGCCAAGGCTAAAGTCTGGTCTGTCATTTTCTGTAGGAAAGAATATAAGTTATTTGGGAGAAGAGCCTTGTCTGGGAAACAATTAACATAATAGCAACAGGGGAACCAAACATAATTATGCATCACAGCAAATAATAGTATTCTAACTGGGTTTGCATGGACAGGTTTTAGTAGTGGAAGGCTACAGGAGTGACTTCTCTGAGAAGCTGCCAGAAGCTTCCCCCATGTCTGACAGAGCCAATGCCCACTGGCTCCAAGACTGCTGCTGGCCAAGGCTGAGCCAATCCGAGATGGTGATAATGCCTCTGTGATAACAGATTCAAAAGGAAAAAAAGTTATTGTTCAGATTTAGTTGTGCTCAGAGAAGAGAAGGGTGAGAGGAATATGTGAGAATAACTCTGCAGACACCAAGGTCAGTGGAGAAGGAGGGGCAGGAGCTGCTCCATGCACCAGAGCTGAGATTCCCCTGGAGACTCTGGTGCAGCCCATGGTGAGGCAGCTGTGGAGGTCCATGGGGGGTCCATGGAGCAGCCCATGGAGGTCCATGGGAGTGCAGAGATCCCCCTGCAGCCTATGGAGGAGACCCACACTGCAGAGGTGAATGCCTGAGAGAAGGCTGTGAACCCGTGGGAGGCCTGGCTCCTGGCAGGGTTCTGCAGACCCATGGAGAGAGGAGCCCACACTGAAGGAGGCTTCCTGGAAGAAGTTGAGATCCTGTGGGGGACCCACACTGCAGCAGGCTACTCTTGAAGGACTGCATCCCATGGAAAAGTGACCCATATTAGGGCAGGTTGTGAAGAACTGTATCCTATGGGAAACACTCAGGCTGTAGAAATTTGTGGAGAACTGTCTCATGTGAGAGCAATCCCAGAGTGGAGCAGGGGAAGGACTCCTCTCCCTGAACAGTGGCAGGAACAACCTGTGGTGAACTGACTGTAACCCCCATTCCCTGTCTCTCTGCACCCCTTTGGGGGAGCAGGTAAAGCCAGGAAGGACAGAGGGTAGTGGGGGAGGTATATTTAAGATTTGTTTTGCTTCTCATTATCCTGCTCTGATTCTGATGGGTAGTAAATTCAGCTAATATCCCCAAGTCAAGTCTGTTCTGCCTGTGACAGGAATTGGTGAGTGATGTCTCTTCCTATCCTTATCTCAATTCATGAACCTTCTGTTTTATTTTCTCTCCCCGACCAAGTTGTGAAGAAGAGTGACAGAGCAGCTGTGGTGGGTACCTGGCATTCAGCCACGGACAATCCACCACAAAAAGCATAGTGAAAAAACAGGTTGCTGGTGACAGAACAATAACAGGGTTGCATAAGACTGTCTTGTGTCTGCCAGCTAAAGCCAGGACATACTGTAGTGACACACATGCAGTGGAGTGAGGCAAAATCTGCAATAGCAGTTATAGACATGCCATTAACAAATCTAAGCAATTGAAAAAACCCAACAAAATCTAGAAACACACAGCTTCTAAGGAGATTCACACCTGTAAGGAGACTTCACTCCATTCCTCCAAAATTCACTCGAAAATCAATTTTGTTTTTGCTAAAAATCTCATGAAGAAAACACAGATCAGCACTGATTGTGGATAACATATTCCAAGTGCTGCTAAAGAAGTTGCGTGACTCAGGGGAAACAAAATGTGCTTTCCAATTTTCCTGTGCTCCTGTGAAAATCAAAGACATAGCACATCCACCAATGTGATTAATGATGAATATCCCTGGCCTTCTCCAGACCTTACATTACATATGTGTTGAAATGTACTGCTAACTTTCACCCATTTCCTTCTGCAGGATCGAGAAGAATTCCTTATACTATGCTGTCATCCCATGTAGCTAGGAAGGACAATTTTTTATGCCTCCCTTAAAATGACATTTTTAAAGATTTAGAATCTTAAGTTAGTTTTCTGCAGAACAGCTACTCTCTAAGGAATTCCAGCAGAGCAGAAAAAAAGTTCTGAATAAATTAGGAAAAAAAGACATTTAATTATTTCACTGCTGTTAGTCCCATGTGCATTTCTGTGGCACTCATATGTTGAAAGTATCAGCATATGTGCCTGCAATCTTGAAGTATGCTCAACATTTCAGCAATTACATTTACAGTAATAGGACACAAGGGAATGAAATGAAGTTGTGCTAAGGGAAGTTCAGATTGGCCATGAGGAAAAGGTTCCTCACTGGAACTGTCTCCCCAGGTAAGTGGTCACAGCACCAAGGAGTTCAAGGAGTCCGAGCTCAAGGAATATCTGGGTGAAGCTCTTGGTCATATGGCTTAGTGTTAGGAAGTCCTGTGAGGAGCAGGGAGTTGGACTCAATCCTTACATGTCCTTTCAAAATGAGATACACTATCATTCTGATTTCCTTTAATAGATACCTTATCTCTGTAGTAGTTCTTATTAAAAAAAAACACCAAAGTCCATATTCAGCATATTCACCTCCTTCGTTACAGTTAATTAAAGTAAAACACTTTTTACTAGTCTGTAAGATAAATGCCTATTAAGCTACAACACATTTGTATATTTATAACATGATGTCTTTTTATTTTATTTTTTTTTTCATAAGTTGTGCGATGCTTTTTCTACAGCATCAAATTCAGGGAGATTGTCATGACGGCAAAAATTTTAAGATACTTGAAAACATTCATAAAGAAGTTTGTTAAACCATGTGGATGAAAAAGTAATCAGTAAACATAAATCAAGCACACCCTGAAGGTTTAAAGACTGAACCATTATTTTATTTTGGGAGTGTTGCATCATGATTTTCAATACTTTGAGCTGGCAGTTGCAAGACACTTGCAAGCTGAAATACCAGTTTAATGAGTAGCCTATAGACTACCATCAGAAATTTTTTGAGGTTGAATCATGCAAAAAATGTTGCAAAGATAAAAAATAACTGAAAAATGCTGCTGAAGCACCAGGAACCATTCTTAAAATCTCTTAATACTTATAATGGGGGGAGCAAGGGGCTGGGAGGGTTTATGTTTGTTTATTTGTTCGTTTTAGAAAACCTAAGTGCAGTCTCCAAGACTTTAAAATGGTGATTAATGTAAAGACAAGAATAGACTTGCTTAATTGAAGCAGTTAATATTAAAGAATATTTGAGATGATAAATAAGAGGATATCAGGTGAAAAACATGAAAAAATATATAGTAAATATATTTTATTTCTTGTGTCAAAATTTTCCTACAGGAAAAGATATACCATCTTGAGGACAAAGCATTTACCTAGTTTCAAAGACCACCACATTTGTTTTCATGCCCTGCACTTTTGTACTAGTAAACACTTATACTGGCTTTTGTGCTGTACTCAAACATTTTGCCAAAGATATCAGCTTTGTCCTTTAAGCCCTGTAACGGCAGAGTGTTAAATAAAATATTCTTCTATGTAATTAACCTTTGATTCAGATGTGAGTTTATGTGGGAAAAAAATGTGAGGAAATTGCTGCCACACTTGTACAACTCTTTCATCTGAATGAAGAAAACAGATGTGGCCAAAAAAAGCTGCTTAGATTAGCTAATATGTCCCACACACATTTCTTCAGTCTGTGCATCCATGTATTATAATAAACCACGTAATGCACCAAGTCTAAAGTGAATTGCAGTCACATAAACAGGAAGATGATACATTTGGCTTTAGCACTTCATAATTAACCTTTTTTTTCTGAAATTGACTAGACTGACCTGTAAGAAGAGAAACTGTAATAACCACTTTCCTCGAGAACCTCTTCAATTAGAGTCTGCGACGCAAAAGAACTTAATTTCAGTGAATTATGTTCATTAAGAGTAATAAATGAATACATATAGGTAAATATACAGCTTACCTGCAACTGCTCATATGTCATCCCTTCTGCCATGCCAGAAGTGCCAAGAATGCCTTCAAGTAAGAGGCAAGTAATGTTATACTACTGAATTTGGAATCTGTGCTCCCTTGTCAGTATCTTAGCAATGCCAAGAAACATAATGACAAGACAGAAGCTTCATGATCAGTAACTCCCACTGAACACAACGACCCCCTGAAAAGGTGGGGTCATTTTATGGCATGATATGAACATTTGGCGCACACTCACTATGGAAGCATGCTAACTAATGAAAAATAGCTTAAAGATTTAATGTAACAGAACTCAGAAATGCAACTTTCTTATTTTTTCCCACTCACAGTGGAAATTTACAGCAGAAAGGGCACACAGCCAGCAGCAATTTGTGAGGACAAAAGTATTGTCTGCAGGTTAAGAGATTCAAAAATTACAGATAATGAGCATATCAACAAATTTTATTATTGTCTCCAGGAACAAAATAATACTCATATTTAAAGGGATTGTTAGGGACTCATTTCCTACTCCAATGTCACCCTTGACACCTAGTATTAATTCTGGTTTTTGCAATAAGCTGTGGAACAGACACGCTATTTTCAACACAAAGACCATCAAAACTAGAGTTTCTCACTCTTCTTTCTGGCACCACAGATTTTAATGTTACTGTATCCTCTAGTCCATGGATTGCAACACAGTTTTTTCTGTATTTAGAAGAATGTAAATGGCACAATTATCAAAATACAGGCTGCATGTTTCCCTTATGTCCACTGCACAAAAAAAACACATCATTAAAAAAGTCTCTGAACTAGGAATTGTAGTTCCCCGCCCTGGGTGATGCCACAGCTGGCAGGTTTGATTTTACATGGTGTTTATGATTTGTCTAGCTGAGTATCACTAGTCCAAAGCAGAATTGACACATATGTTGATATGTCTTCTAAAGTATATATATATATATTTCCCTCCTCAAGTTCATATGGTTTGATCTAGCTGTGTAATTAAATCAACCCATTACAACTATTTCAAACATCACAAAAGAAAAACATAAGGGTTTAAATATAGTTGATTTTACCCCAAGAACCCCAAACTAAAAACAAACAAACAATCCCCCATCCATGCCCTC